ACACAAATTATTTTTGGAGTGAAACAAATAATTTGTGTGGCATCAGATTTGATGCAGAACAGCTGATTGTTCTGTGAATAGTTTGAAATGTTTCTTTAAAAACACCTTGGCACACGCCTGCTGCTGCTCACAGTGGTCCAAGGGACGCTCAGGGAGTTTGTGTGTTCGCTCAGACACATGAAACATTAGAGGCAACATCACACTGCTTATAGCACTTACATTCTTAATTCATCCAGTAAGTATAACATTAAAACAAGCATGAAGTGCTGAAGGGGGACATTTTAAGCTATGGAAGAATAGTGGAGGAGAGCTTCTAAGCATTCTAAGCATAATTGTGTGAAATGAGTGTGTGTTACCTCTGTGCTCAGGTGACGGTGTGTCTTGTGGAAGTTCAGACAGAAAGAGTCCCACATCATCCAGAGCCTTGGTCATAACGGGCTCTTTCGCTCGCAGCTCCCTCTTGAAACCCTGTAAAAGCACACATACTTTTTGCATTTGTACTAAACTAAACATCAGACAGCCAGTTCCACCCTTCGGTGTCATATCTGGGACTAAAAGACTGAGCTTGATGTGACTTTATACAGAGAAATCTGTCTCAAAAGGGTTACAAATGCATAGGGTACGATCAGAGGCATAAACACATGTGTGCAGTGATCTGTCTGTAACTTTTGAGGACTCACAAGTGCTTCAATCCACACACAAAGTCATTAGTTGTTCACAGAGTCTATTAATAAAGCTTCACAAACGGAATAATTTTCTCTTTCAAAAAGCTTTCTGTGGATACGAATGTCTAAAAATACAGGCAGTGGCCAGTGGTGGCCCTCAGCCTCAGTAGATGCAAAGGGTACTTTCAAAATCCTAAGTCACCTTGTTCTTAGGTTATCACACTGAAAAAGATTTTCAGAAAACTTGACCTCTGACCCCTGACCTTGAGGCCAAGATCACTGAGATTCAAACTTGTCTGATATTCATACTAGATGTGCCTATGGTTTCAAAATCCTGTCACTTCCTTCTCAAGTGATCACAAACTCAGGTGTCCATGTTGAACGACAATACCCCATCAGCCTTTTACAGCTGAGGGGTAATAAAATACTTGCAACATCCTTCTCACTCACTTACAAAACCTTTCCTAAGAGAGAAGTTTCACTCCTGATACGCATGGATCACACTGCATGCCCACGTGGGGTTTTGAGATGTCTGAGAGGAGAAGCCAGCTCTCCTGCCTCAGTAGAACTGAGTAAGGCAGATAAGACGGACCGCCATGATGGAGAGCAGTTTGTTGTTGTTTGTTTGATCTCCTGTCCCTCACTGACTCAAAAGGCTCCAGACTCTGGGTAATGATGGTTCCAGCTCTGTGAATCATTTTGTTAATCCTGCTGGCACTGATGGAGACAACGGCAAAGGAAGTCGCCAATAAAGGATCTGAGAATCTTCTTGTACACACCATCCCTGTTGGTCCATCCATCCAAACTCTCATTCAGGTGAACTCCGTACCTGTACCTGTACCTGTAGTACCTGTACCTGTAGTACCTGTACCTGTAGTACCTGTAGGTGTTCACTGGTTCCACCTCCATACACATCTTAATGGGTCTGCTTACTTATCTTCATTTAGATGAAGATACATATGCAAATATGCGCGCTGTATCCTTTTCAACGTTTTCTTGTTCCTAGACCTGACGACCCTCCTGTCTTCTTTAGTGGAGTGATCTAGGACTAGAACAGTGCACTTTGATGCAACCTCAAAGGCTGAAGGTGATTTTAGACTAAAATCCTGGGCTTTCCTCCAATTATTAAATCTGACTACAAAGCAGGCTATAATTATAATTTGATTAGTTTATTCACTCACATCTTTGATGTCACTGCGTGCTGCCTAGGGGAATTAATCTGAGTTAATATTTCTCTAATTAATTCTGTTTAAAGGCAGAAACTGATCATTTTGTTCGAGCTTTAGTTAAAAAAACTATTTGTCTAAGGTTATCATGTGCTGATGTCACTTCCTGTGCAGATATATTGTCGATTCCTGTTTGTGAAAAGTCATGGCAGTCGTGTTGACAATTAGCTGAACACAATCTGCACCAAGAAGCAATGTTGAGTGAGCGTTCTACCATGCTGCACCTCCTACCCGGTGTATGTCCAGCTGAGCCTGCACGGCCGGGACGTCCCCCCCTACACGTCGCTCCTGCTCCAGCTGCTGACTTTTCAACCTTAGCCAGTTCAACAGTTCTTGCAGTGACATGTGAACCCTCTTCCAGGGGGCCATCTCTGAGTCCAGATGGGCCCTTGAAACAGAAACACAAACATTTTTTCTTCCTCTGTAGTTTCAACAACAGTCGTTTACAGTTCTTTGCGTTGTTGGAACCATTGCAACCGCTCACCTCATGCGGAGGGTCTTGTTGTGCAGGTCATTCCACCGCTGGGTCATGTTGCCAAGACGTCTCCTGAGCAGAGCCCCATCCTCAGAGTCCCCCAGTGACGTAAGAATCCTCTGCCCATTTTCATCCAGGGAGTGATACAGTTCTGTGTGGCCGTCAATCTCTATTTGGAGGTCCTATAATTGCCAGAAATGGAGAAACAGCATGAAAAACTGTAAAATTCGGTTACAGCACACACTGAATTTTTTGGTAACATCAGCAATCTTTCAGGACTTTCACTTTCACTGATTGGTGCTTAAAATCAGATGATGATCCGTTAATCAAGATATCAACCGTATTTATATTTATATTTACATTAACCGTTTGTATTTTAATTTCTTAGCACTGTAATGTCAAAATGTCAAAACTGCAATGTCCTGGAAGTGGGGAAGTGGAGACTCAGTGATCTTCTCTGCTGTCTTCAGCCCTCTCTGCAGGGATTTCCGGCACTGCAGGCCCCTGACCACACAGATATTCATGTCAGTAAGCTCTCTATAGTACCCTTGTAGAAACTGGTAAGGATACGAGAGGGTAAGTGACCTCTCCTCGTCCAGAGCTCTCCTAGCAACAGCTCTGGTGTGCAGTGACCAGGACAAAGTGTCTGTTATCTGTACTCTCTGGAACTTGGTGCTGCTGACCAGGTCCACTGCTGTTCTGTTAATGACTGTGTGGGACTGTGCCGACTTCCCCTTAAGTCGACAATGAGCTCTTTGGTTGTTTTCAGCACAGACAACGTGGTCGTTCTCCAGTCTCTCAAAGGACATCACAATGGGACTGAGTGCTTTGGGGCAGTCGTCATGAAGATACGGGCACTTGGGCACTTGAATGTTGGCAGCAAGCTTAAAGAATCAAATGGAATCCCCTTTTATTGTCACTGTATATGTAGAATGAAATTGTGGATGCTCACCACCAGCTGTGCATGGAATAATAATATGAATAGCAGGACAGCAAGAATGAATAACAGACTAGATTACATACACACAAGAGGTATGTATACAAAACAGGAGGCACACAATAAAAAGGCACACATTAGAGAACAGTTTACAAAGTGCTTGAAAATAGTGTAAAACACTTGGTCTGAGTATAGAGTCCATGTGCGAGTGTCCTGGAGGTGTGTGACCTCATTGACCAGAAGCGCCATCTGGAGGGCAGCAGGTCAAATCCGTGGTGGGCGAGAAGCAAGTCGTTACCTCTGATGGCCCTTGCAGCCCGTTCTCACTCTCGAGGCGTAACATGTCGACGTTTTGTCACCTAGCGTAAAATGTTACGCTTTGGGAGTGAGAACGTGTTGGCCCTGGAGTCAGGAGGTGCTGGTAATGTCTTCCAGAGGTGGCAGAGGATGGCCAATGACTTTTTTGGGGAGTGTTAATTACCCTCTGCACAGCCTTTCTGTTTTCAGTCCTGGCCTCTGCGTACCAAACACACGGTGGTAGAAGCAGCAGCTTCTGGTCCAGGTTGTTCTTCCTCAGAATGCAGGACAAATGAAAAATGTCTAAAAGAGCTGAAGCTGGTCGGTCAGGACACCAAGCTGGTGTGTTGTCAGTGCCGGCTGCTTTTCTTACGTTCCCTCTCCTCAAAGTCGTATAGAGCGCTGTTCCTTGCAGGTGTATGACTAAATGCCTCAACCCTTCATAGTGTTTGTTTACTTACTTATTCAGAAAGGTTGTCTTGTTCACACAGGGTGGAGGAGTAGCTTTAAACTCTTTGATGGCGTTGATACTCTGCCACATTCATCTCTTGTTTGCATGGTCATGGAAGAACTTCTGTATGCTCTTACCAAAGTCATGCTTCGTTGCTCTTATGGCTATATAGTTATAGTTCAAGTTGGGTCTTGCTGATCTGGGTGCCATCATATCACATTACACCTAAAACCGTCACTTTGTGCTTTCATTGCAAGCACCCATTGGTCATCCACAGTTTGTCACCAGGAATGTCATCTAACAAAGACATCATATTTCTAAACTTATGGAGACACTAACTCAGCGTACTCATCTACACTCAGTTGCAGATGCCTTGAACACATCTGTTAATACATTCAATACAATACATCTTTTAATGCTTCCGTGGCTCCTGTAGAGCACTTGCTTCACAGTGGGGGTTTCTCTGATTATTAAGCACTTCTATGCAGGAAGCAGCATAACAGAAAAATGGTCTGACGAGCAGAGGTGGGGGCAGGGTGTTGCCTTAAATGCTTCCTTAATGTTCGAATAGGCGAGGTAAACTCAGGCTAGGTGAAAATCAGTGTCACTTCATCTTAGTTTAATTTGGTGCCTTCATAAAGAGACTCCTGCATTTGAATTACTGGCTTTATTAATAGCTAATCCATCATTTACTAATGCTTTATACATAAATTCAATCATTAAGGGAAAATGTCCATTTCAGGAGTCTTCAAAATTCTGTGATACCTGATAAGACAGACAATAGTTACCTTAATGCCTTACATACTGTCTATTAAGTATTAGTAAATGACTTATTTACAAATTCTGTGCTCAAAGAATTATGATATCAATTCTTTGTGTCTGACTTTATCTACTTTTTCTTATTTTAATTCTCTTAATGTTATTGTCATTGTTTGTTTGAGGCTAATTACCTTCCACATGTTCTTTATATTACTAAAGTAAAACAGAGCTGCAGTAGACGTCTGACCTCTCACAGAAAAAAAATGGTACAGCCGGGACCTCAAGTTGTTTGCATGACTTGATGAATGTCAGATTGTTCTCACTCCTGAGATGTAATACATCCCGAGGTATTCCATGGGAACACGAAAGACAACCTTCCGCGTTCCTATGCTACGCACCGAGCTGTGGATGAAATCCAATAGAACGACCGTCCCACGGTAATAGACGTTCCAGCCATGTATTCCAGCCCTAACCTTATCCCTAAACCTTAACCAGCACTTTAATGATGTTAGTGTTTTTCAAAGCGATTTAAGTAAGATAAACGTACTTGTGTAGATTCATTCCAAACAGTTCTCATGTTTCCTCATTTTTCCGACCTCGTAATACAGCGCTCCCTCGCTATAACGCCGTTCACCTTTCGCGGCCTCGCTGTTTCGCTGGTTTTTTTGTGTGCAATTTTGCATGTTTTTTTTTTTTTACAGTGCATTGTGTTCTGCGTCCTGATTGGCTGTAGACCATTGTTAACCAACCTCGTGCCGTGTCTCCTGTACAGTCCAGAATACATTCAGCTTGTTAAATTTACATAAATCTTCGATCTCTAGCAGTGTGACTCTGAAGAGCTGCACTGTATGTTTGTAAGTTTCCTGCCCAACAAACGGAACGATGTCGACGAAACGACAACCGCGGGTCTTTGGTTTCATTCTCTAATGCTGGACTTATTTTTCTACAATGTTTGAACTTTGAGTTTAAACAAGAGAGGAAAGTGAAAATGTTCAGCCTGTCTGAGAAAAGTGTGTAAAGTGTGTAGTGACGGGTTTTACATCCTTAAAACAGCTATAATAATTGTAAAAAATAAGGTTGGCGACTTCGCAGATTTCACCTATCACGGGTTATTTTAGAACGTAACTACCGCGACACACGAGGGACGGCTGCATAGGGAAGCAGTAATATACAGGCGATTTGTCACCTTGTGTAAAATGTTACGCTTTGGGAGTGAGAACGTGTTGTGAATATAGTCTCATCAGTTTTACCACAATGCTATGCAATTCAATCTTAGAAAATGCTTTATTTAATTGGAAAAATATGACACATTACTTGATTGTAGCCCAAACTGTGGAATAACACTAGCATTCCCAACACTACATCTAGTCCGTGTGTAATACAAATTACTCATCCCCTATTTTACTGTGATGATTGGTGGGTTCAAAAAGGTCAATAACATGCTTCTTTGTGGTTATCTTGTGGCAAAGCAATCAAACCACTTATTTCTTTTGAGTCCTCTTTTTGGAAAATTGCATTCTCCCAACTTTGTGGAAACACTTTGGGGATGCCCCCTTTCTTTTCCAACATGACTGTGCACCAGTGCACAAAGCAAGGGCATGGGTGAGGCAGTTTGATGTGGCAGAATTGATCTGTCCAGCACAGAGTCCTGACCTCAGCCTGACAGAGTAGAAGAATGGGCAAATGTTAATATAAACACACTCCTAAACCTTGTGGAAAGTCTTCCCGGAAGCGTTGAAGCTGCTACAGCTGCAAAGAGTGGGCAGACATCATATTAAAATCCTATGGATTAAGCATAGAGTGCCACAAGTTCATGTGTGTGTACACACAGACAAATACTTCTGGCAATAGTGGCTGACTGTATCGAGCATTTCTGCTCAAATTGAGCACTCAAAGCTCTTTTACTACAAACACTAAAAATATGAAACTGAATTTGACAGAACTTCTTATGTTTCTGTGCTTTGTGAAGAGGACGTGTCACTAACTCACCATTTTTATTAAAGAATCAACTTGTCTTTAGAGCAAATCTTCTTATAAAAATAAACTGGAGTCAGTGAATAAAAACATACTCCTCCTTTTTGGGAAGAGAAAACACAAGAAGCGCTGAGGACATTATAAATAGGAGTTAAGTAAGTGCACTTGTTTACAAGAGAGCACAACTCCAGAGGGCAAGTGTGATACTAACACTGGCATTTTATGATTTTGATGTCCACCTGTTTTCATTACAATACAATGATGTCATCCTGTTATGGTGTTATTGTGACGGTGTTGAGAAAATAAAAGTGTTGTACAGCTGCGTCCATGCCCTTTCAAGATGATACTTTCTACTCTATATGGTTTCTTGAAATTGTCAAGGTCACACAATGAAGATCAAGGTCAGCTGCTTAGCCAACACGGGAGATCATGTCCCCCCTACGACACTGTTGTGAAGTTTAAAGACTTTCAATTAAAAATACAAAAATCCCAGCCCTGCACAGCCTGGCGACCTGTCCGGGGTGCACCCTGCCTCTCGCCCAAACACACAAATCTGAAACATGATATCATGAAAACTGTGGACGCTAGACTGCTAACAAACAATCAAATGGAACAAATGACACAGGGGGCAGGAGGATTTGATTACGATTACCATGTGATCTAAATGATGACACAATGTCAGGCAGTCCAACAGTTTGCATTTTTACCTTGATTTCTGCCTTTTAAATGAATAGTTCCAGAAGTCGTGCGAAAGAAAGATCTTTCCTACTGTTAATCTCAAATGCCCCACAACAGAGTCGAGCTTATATAAAATCAATTATATTAACTGATTTGTAGCCAGGAAAAAAATTAACTCTTGAGATTAAAAATTTCCCCTTTTAAGAGTCTCCTGACCAAGCAGTACAAGCCTTGGTTGCATACATTAAATCACATACACATACAAATCCATGCACCAGTTAAGTACAGTCAGAGTAAAAAAATAACACACAGAAACAACCCAGATCATGCTAAAAGTGCTACCGAATGCCACAAACAAAGGAACAATATTCAGGCAAAACAGCAGCCTGCATTAGTTCTTTAGAATCGCTTTAAAGTCATTAAGTGAGACCAGCTCCTTACGTTGATTCTGTAGCTGATTCCAGGAGCAGGAAGCTGCACATGTGAAAGCTCAAATTTAGTGTGAAGCTTTGAGACAGACGGAATAAATCTTGGGAAATAAGATGTATAAGAATATATCAGTCATATATATCATATATACGTCATGACAAAGCAGACCAGCAAAGGAGTGGTGAGTAAGAGCTTGTAATGAATTTCAATGCTCCATGATAGAATCCAGCATATTTAAGGATGCATGCATATAAATCGCATTGCTATAATCAAGTATGGACATAAAACTGGGAACAACAAGTCTCTTTCTTCTCTCAAAGTACAAGCAGGACTTTTAGTCTAAAGTAAAAACCACAATTCAGTTTTTTCACCAGTTGCTGAAACTGAGGCGTAAACGACAGCGAGTCATCAACTGAAGTCCTAAGTAGCTGTAATCAGATACTAACTCAATCTCAAAGCCCTGAATTGTAGTAATACATGAAAGGTTACTTGGTTCAGATTTTTAATTTGTGAACACCATCGATTTTCTTTGGTCAGCATTCAAAACAAGTTTTAAATCCCACAGGTTTTTCTGTAGCGTAGTGAAAGCTTACAACCTATATGAATCATCTCAAAAGTTTAGTGTAAATGTCAGTAGAGTAAATGTTCCAAATGAATCTACTTGGTTTTTATCCCCAACCTGAACATGGTAGACCTTTCTGCGCAGCATCGTCCAGACTGAACCCTGGAATCCCCAAAATCACACATCAAAAAGAAGAAGCACCTCCATTAAGCCCCATTTCATTCCTTCTAGCTTCCAGCAGGCTGAATTACACTGCCCTCTGTTTAAGTGTTGGTGACACAGTGAGACGTTCAGATAAAGAGGAAGAGAGGGAGGGGCAGTCGCACATAAAAAAGAGAGACGGAGTTGAACGTCTGAGTCAGAGTGAACACAGGGTACGAGAAAGAGTTAATGTGACGATGAAAGACGCAGAGAAACTTTCAAGGTTACATAAAATGATGAGTGTACTTCTTTTCCAATTAAACCTTATCTGCATGTTGTAGCCGAGGGAACGAGTGAGACTTCATAGGATGCTGTGTACTTTTAGCACCCATCATTGTAACTGGACAAAGGCAACTAACTCAGTGCAACACACAGTGCTACACACAGTGCTACACACAGTGCTACACACAGTGCTACACACAGTGCTACACACAGTGCTACACACAGTGCTACACACAGTGCTACTGTTGTACTGAGAGAGCTCTGTGTGTACATGTGTGTGTGTCCCCGTAGGTGTGTTGTGTGTGTGTGAATTTCTGATTTTAAATGTGCTGCTTGTGTGTTTCCTTGTAGTGCATGCACTGCACACTGTGTCACAGTGGTTGTGTGTGGATCACTGTACATGCTGTGCTACCAGAGAGTGTGTGTGGGTGCAGGGTGAGGGCTGATGGTCAGAATATGTTTTCTTGCAGAACAGAGCGTTCCCTTCACCCAACACCCACAATGCATTGGGGGAATTCGGGATTCGTGTGCAGACAGTGACAGTCCAATCAAATCTCACCATGTCAGCATTCCTGTCATACTAGCCAGAGCAGAGTTGAAGAAGGGCTAAAAACTGGAAATATACTGGATGTGTGGCAGATGAGACTAAAGTCTAATCATTAGTCTTTTTATCCATATCAGGGTTGCGAGAGCGGGCTCGAGACTATCCCAGTTATCAGAGGGCGAGAGGCGGGGTAAACCCTGCACAGGATACCAGTCTGTTGCAGAGGTAACGCAGGGACAGACAACACTCTCCTTAACACCTGTGGGCAATTTAGAATGAACATAACCCTACTAACTGCATGTCTTTGAACTATGGGAGGAAGCTGGAGTACCTGGAAAGAACCCACATTGGTTTTACTTTCTCACTAATCCTTTACGAGTTTTTCCTTGCCTAACTTAATTAAACTGTGTTAATGGTATAACCAATTTAATGATTAATTCTGATGACAAACATGTTTGAACTTACAGCTTTCATCACTGCAATGTGAACCCCCCAAAACCAAACACAAAAATAAAATGTTTTTATATGTAAAAGCCAGATGAGGTCCAAACACCAATCAGCAAAGAAGACACTAAATTGCTGGTTAGTAAATGAATATGTGTTTAAGGCTGTTTGTTTTATCCAATGAGGAGGTCTAAGCACTCCTTGCTGCGCTGTGCAGCATGCACTATGTTGTTTAGCTTGTGTCTGGGAGTTTTGTCCTCGGGATCAACCGGTTTTAGTCTGAGGTTATGGCTGGGTCTGAAGTGCACTGATGCTTGCAGATAAATCTCCCGAGTTTCTCAGATAAACAACAAAGTTGTTACTAGGGCTGCTCAATTAATCGAATTTTAATCTCGATTACGATCTGGGCTTTCAACGAGCATTAAAAATGACTGAGACGATTATTAGCCCCTCCCTCGTGCTTTACTCTCGCGCTGCTCCGTGTGGCAAATCGAGCGCACCTCTCTGCGTTTCGAACACGTGTCACAACAAGAAGACCCGAGGGAAGCTCGGAAAGCTCAGCAGAAGTTATTTGGAGAGGAGAGTGACTGCTGCTGGTGGAAAAGAGGTAAAAAAACTTCAGTGGTGTGGAAACATTATGGGTTCAGTCAGACGTGGATCAGGTGGACACAGTGTGTAAACTTTGCTGCACCACAGAGCAACACTGCAAAGTTCACTAAACAGATGTTTACATTTTTCATTGATTTCTTATATTGCAAACATTTGCACTGTCATCAGTATTTGCACTGTTTTATACTATTTTTTAAAGTCATTATTCAACACATTGTTATTGTTAAATAAATATCGTCAAATAATCGAGATCTCAATTTCAGTGAAAATAATCGTGATCATCATTTTTGCCATAATCGAGCAGCCCTAGCTGTTAGATCTCTTTCTCCCTTGTTGGTGTCCAGGCCCAGCTGGGAAAACCAGGTGTTTTAAGAGCTTTCTTTAATGTGTGTGTTCGTGTCTTTGGCTTAGAGGGAATGTTTTGTGCCCAGTGTTGCAGCGTCCAAATGACCAGGTTTGTGTTGTGGGAGTCAAAGAGTAGGTACTGGTGTGTGTGGGCTTTCAGTAACGTTCAGTGTTGAGGTTTCCATTCAGCAAGCTATTATCATTTTTTCTCTTCCCTGGTGAGCTTTACGTTTCTAACCACTGAGTTGATGTGAACAGTGAAGGTTTCTACTTCTTGGGTTTAGATTTTGACCATTGTATCACATCCATACTTGTCTGTAGCAACTCTTGTATTTTAAGATATGTGGCGGTGAGGCGAAGGTCTAACAGTGTACAAATCTGATCATTTGCTGGCACTCTCCACTGCCTCCTTTGTAGGGATACAAGTGAAAAGGGAGACCACATTAAAGGACATTATGGTTTAATCTGGTTTGGCACCAGCAGCAGCAGCAGACCTGTGTGTGCTATGAGACCAGTTAGGTTTTCTAAATAGTATTGTAAATAGTTTTGTCCTTTTTCAAATAGCAAAGGGCTGAGCTGCCTATTTATTTCTGTACATTTATCTTGTGTAATAAGTCAGGGAGTTATGGGGCAGTGCTTGAATTGGCTTGTTTTGTTTGTAATTTTGCCCTGGAGCTTAAGCGTTGAGTTTTGATAGTATTGGTGCAGCAATAAATCTCACATTTATCTGTGACTTGGCCATTGGGTTTCTGGTTTTGGGGACCAGGGCGACGACACCCTTTTCTATTCCTTATGTTGCACCTAGACCGAGGCATAACATGTCCCTGCTTGGATTTCCTTTACACAGACGTCCTCATCACTAAATGAATGATTCTAAACTGGCCACAGGTGTGGATGTGAGTGTATTGGTCCTCATGACTTAGTCCTGACAAGGTTAATCTTCAGGGCCTTATGCTGATTTCTGGAACGTGTATATGTCCATATCTGTACATAGATACAGAGCTAGCTATATCAGAAAGATGAGGTGCACCTGTGTATGGCCCACCTTCCACTGTTCCAGCAAGTTCCTTGCTGCCTCAGACTGCTCCTGCAATCTCTCCTTGTTCGTGGCATCTAGTAAAACATTGCAGGTCGTCTCAGCCTCCGTGAGCCAGTTGAGGAACTTTTCCAAATCAAAGTAGAACTGCTGCAGCAACTTTAGAGCAGCTTCCAAAGCTGCCTCCCTGTCTGAAACACTGAAAATGTGCAGACAGATGACAAGAAACAAAGGTGGTAAATAAAAGTTATTTCCTCAAAAAAGTTAAAGAAGCAACAGATTTGTTTTGCACACATCGGTAAACACGATGGCTCAAAGTTTAATATGAATTCTGATAAAACGTCGCATGTTTGATATATGTACAGTGACGTCGAGTTAACAATTCAATAAAAAGATTGACAAAAAAGTCTCATAAAACATATACAAAGTACTTAAATATATTTAAACTTTATCTCCTTGTCACTTCACCCCAAGTCCAGCACCCTGAGACTGTACGCTAAGGGGAAGGAAGGGAGCCAGGGACCAGTGAGACTCAGCACCACAGTCCAGGATGAGGCAGTGAACACCCATGAATACATGAGGAAGATGGCCTCAACCGACCGCGTGCTCAGTGAATACCTCAGGCAGCAGAAACCCAAGAAAGAGGAGGAACCATCATGGAAGGACAGGCCCCTGCACGGTATGTACCACCAGATAGAGGAGGTGGCTGATATCCAGAAATCCTACCAGTGGCTGGACAAAGCTGGACTAAAAGACAGCACAGAGGCACTAATCATGGCAGCACAAGAACAAGCTCTGAGTACAAGATCCATAGAGGCTGGGGTCTATCACACCAGGCAAGAC